AGATACACCATGTTTCTGGATTAGAAGAGTCAACATAGTCAAAATCACTGTGCTACCCAAAGAAATCTACAGGTCCAATACTAAATCTATCAAACCATCAATGACATTTTTCACAGAATTAGAACAAAAATTTTACAATTTGTATGGAAACAGAAAAACCCCCAAACGGCGAAAGCAATCTTGAGAAAGAAAAACAGAGATGGAAGAATCAGGCTTCCTGACTTCAGGCTACACTACAAAGCTACAGTTATCAAAGCAGAATGATGCTGGCACAAAAACAGAAATATAGATCAACAGAACAGGATAGAAAGCCTAGAAATAAACCCACTCATCTATGGTCAACTAACCTATGACAAGAAGGCAAGAACATACAACAGAGAAAAGATTGTCTCTTCAGTAGTGGTACTGGGAAAATTTTTTCACAGAATTAGAACAAAAATTTTACAATTTGTATGGAAACAGAAAAACCCCCAAACAGCGAAAGCAATCTTGAGAAAGAAAAACAGAGATGGAGGAATCAGGCTCCCTGACTTCAGGCTACACTACAAAGCTACAGTTATCGAAGCAGAATGATGCTGGCACAAAAACAGAAATATAGATCAACAGAACAGGATAAAAGCCTAGAAATAAACCCACTCATCTATGGTCAACTAACCTATGACAAGAAGGCAAGAACATACAATGGAGAAAAGATTGTCTCTTCAGTAGTGGTACTGGGAAAACTGGACAGCTACAGGTGAAAAAAATGAAAGTAGGAAACACCCTAACACCATACATACACACACACACACACACACACACACAAACTCAAAATGGATTAAAGACCTAATTTAACGTCAGATACTACAAAAGTCTTAGAGGAAAACATAGAACTCTCTCTGACATAAATCGAAGCAAGATCTTTTTTGATCCACCTCCTAAAGTAATGAAAATAAAAACAAAAATAAACAAATGCAACCTAACTAAACTTAAAAGCTTTTGAACAGCAAAGGAAACCATAAGCAAAGCAGAAAGACAACCCACAGAATGGGAGAAAATATTTCAAACAAAGTGTCTAACAAAGGATTAATCTCCAACATATACAAACAGTTCCTGCAGTCAATGTTTTAAAAAAAAAAAAAAAACCAATCGACAACCCAATCAAAAAAAAAAAAGGTCAGAAGTTCTAAATAGACATTTCTACAGAGGAGACATTCAGATGGCCAAGAAACACATGAAAAGATGTTCAACATCACTAATTATTGAGTTTCTCGGGTAGCTTACCTGCTAAAGAATCCACCTGCGATGCAAGAAACCCCAGTTCAATCTGTGGGTCAGGAAAACACCCTGGAGAAGGGATAGTCTGCCCATGGCAGTATTCTTGGGTGTGCCTGGTGGCTCAGACAGTAAAGAATTCGCCTGCAATGCAGGAGACTGGGTTTGACTGCTGGATTGGGAAGATCCCCTGGAAGAGGGCATGGCAACCCACTTCACTATTCTTGCCTGGAGAATCCCCATGAACAGAGGAGCCTGGTGGGCTAAGTCCATGGGGAGTCATAAAGAGTCTCAAAAAAAGAGTCTCAAAAAAAAAAAAAAACCAACAGCAACAACCCAATCAACAAGCCAATCAAAAGAAAAAAAAAATGGTCAGAAGTTCTAAACAGACATTTCTCCAAAGAAGACACAGACATGGGCAAGAAACACATGAAAAGATGTTCAGTATCACTAATTATTAGAAAAATGCAAATCAAAACTACAACAAGGTATCACCTCACATTGGTCAGAATACCTATCATCAAAAAAAATCTATGAACAGTAAATGCTGGAGAAGGTGTGGAGAAAGGGGGACCCTTCTCACTGATGGTGAGAATGCAAATTGGTATAGACACTATGGAGAACAGTATGAAGGTTCCTTAAAAAACTAAAAATAGAACTACCTTATAATCCAGCAATCCCACTCCTGGGCATATATACAGAGAAAACCATAATTCAAAAAGATACATGTATCCAAATGTTCAGTTCAGCTTAGTTACTAATTTATGTCCAACTCTTTGTGACCCCATGGACTGCAGCACACCAGTCCATCACCAACTCCCAGAGCTTGCTCAAACTCATGTCCATTGAGTCAGTGATGCCATTCAACCATCTCATCCTCTGTCGTCCCCTTCTCCTCCTGCCTTCAGTCTTCCCCAGAATCAGGATCTTTTCCAATGAGTCAGTTCTTTGCATCAGGTGGCCAAAGTATTGGAGTTTCAGCATCAGTTCTTCCAATGAATATTCAGGACTGATTTCCTTTAGGATTGACTGGATTTCCTTTAGGATTTCCTTTAGGATTGATCTCCTTGTAGTCCAAGGGACTCTCAAGAGTTTTCTCCAACACCACAGTTCAAAAGCATCAATTCTTCAGCTTGTACTATTAACCATGCTCATATCCCAATGGGTATTAGACCAATGTCTTTGGCTTAACTCTTCCCCATAACTTTCAGTTCCCCTTTTACAATGCCTGCTAGAAGTTGCACCCACTATTAAAACTCAACATGTTCAGAACTTCGTGTCTCATAAGGTTATAAGGCATCCTTTGTAGCAAATGGCCCAGCATTTACCCAGATTCTCAAGCTAGAAATCTGAGAATGCTTGCCTCTTCTTTTATTCATACATTCATNTCATCTGCATATCTGAGGTTATTGATATTTCTCCCAGCAATCTTGATTCCAGCTTGTGCTTCCTCCAGCCCAGCATTTCTCATGATGTACTCTGCATATAAGTTAAATAAGCAGGGTGACAATATACAGCCTTGACGTACTCCTTTCCTATTTGGAACCAGTCTGTTGTTCCATGTCCAGTTCTAACTGTTGCTTCCTGACTTGCATACAGGTTTCTCAAGAGGCATTTCTCAATCAGACATTAGTGAAAGAAATATTCACAACTGAAATTATGACCACAAATGAGTGGTGATTATTTTCTTATGCTCCTCTGTCCATGGAATTCTCTGGGCAAGAATACTGGTGTGGTAGCTATTCCCTTCTTTAGGGGATCTTCACGACCCAGGGATCAAACCCAGGTCTCCCGCACTGCAGGCAGATTCTTTACCATTTGAGCCACCAGGGAAGCCCTTACAGTCTTATAATATAGGCTAAATATTGTGTCCACCCCACCAAAGTTCATATGCTTAAGTCCTAATCCCAATTTGATGGTATTTAGAGATAGGACCTCTGTGAGGTAATCAGGTCTTGAGCAAGGAGCTTTCATGAATGGAATTAGCACCCTTATAAGAAGAGACATGAGAGAAAGAATCTTTCTTCCTCACCATGGGAAGATACAGCAAGAAGATGGCCATCTATAAACCAGGAAGAGGGTCCTCATCCAACACAGACTATGCCAGCTCCTTGATATGAGACTTCCCAACCTTCAAAATTGTAGGAGATAACTGTTGTTTAAGCCATCAGTTTATAGTATTTTGTTACAGCAGTTTTAACTGACTTGAACATGTTGCAAAGAAACAACTACTTACAGAATCTAAGAAAATAAGATACAAGTATAAGAAATTGTGATATGCTTTCTTACAAAGATACATGTAAGACTCTACATCAAGCAATGCAATTGAAGAAATGCTTGCCAGATCCTTTGAGAAAATCATAACTTTCTAAGTGATCAGGGTCAATATGACCAATTAGTTCATTAACTACTATTAAGGCATTAGTAATATATTCTTTCTCTTTTAGTGGTACATAAATGGTACATCTTAAAATTGGTGATATTTTATATTCAATTAAAAAGAGATACGAGAGCAACAAAATTTTCCAGAACTGATAAAAAAACATCAATCCATGTATGTCCGACTCTGCTACCCCAAAGACAGCAGCCCACCAGGCTCCCCCGTCCACAGGATTCTCTAGGTAAGAACACTGGAGAGGGTTGCCATTTCCTCTCCCAATCCATGTATATGGGAAGCCAAAAGTTCCCAAGCAGTATAATTAAAAGAAAATCCACACTTAAAACATATTATCATGAAACTGTTCAAAACCAAAAAGAAAAAGAAAGACCTTAAAAGCCATCAGGGCACAGTAGAGGGAGGGACAGAGAAAGATTACCTTCAAAAGAAGCTCAGATACCAGGTTCATGGAGTGGAAAGTTCAATAATGTTCAGAATAGTAATTCTCCCCAGGTTGATTCATATATCAATTGCTACCAGATTTTCAGCAGTCTTTTAGCAGATATTGGCAAGATGATCCTAAAATGTGTTTAGAATTGCAAATTACATAGAATTACAAAATTTATATAGAATTCATATAGAATGCCAAAACAATTTTGAAAAAGACAAAGCTGGACAACATATGCTTCCCAATTTCAAAACCTGATATAAAGCTACTTCAGTAGTTGTAACACAATGTAGTACTGGCACAAGGACAGACATAACATGTTGCAAAGAAACAACTACTTACAGAATCTAAGAAAATAAGATACAAGTATAAGAAATTGTGATATGCTTTCTTACAAAGATACATGTAAGACTCTACATCAAGCAATGCAATTGAAGAAATGCTTGCCAGATCCTTTGAGAAAATCATAACTTTCTAAGTGATCAGGGTCAATATGACCAATTAGTTCATTAACTACTATTAAGGCATTAGTAATATATTCTTTCTTTTTTAGTGGTACATAAATGGTACATCTTAAAATTGGTGATATTTTATATTCAATTAAAAAGAGATACGAGAGCAACAAAGTTTTCCAGAACTGATAAAAAACATCAATCCATGTATGTCCGACTCTGCTACCCCAAAGACAGCAGCCCACCAGGCTCCCCCGTCCACAGGATTCTCTAGGTAAGAACACTGGAGAGGGTTGCCATTTCCTCTCCCAATCCATGTATATGGGAAGCCAAAAGTTCCCAAGCAGTATAAATAAAAGGAAATCCACACTTAAAACATATTATCATGAAACTGTTCAAAACCAAAAAGAAAAAGAAAGACCTTAAAAGCCATCAGGGCACAGTAGAGGGAGGGACAGAGAAAGATTACCTTCAAAAGAAGCTCAGATACCAGGTTCATGGAGTGGAAAGCTCAATAATGTTCAGAATAGTAATTCTCCCCAGGTTGATTCATATATCAATTGCTACCAGATTTTCAGCAGTCTTTTAGCAGATATTGGCAAGATGATCCTAAAATGTGTTTAGAATTGCAAATTACATAGAATTACAAAATTTATATAGAATTCATATAGAATGCCAAAACAATTTTGAAAAAGACAAAGCTGGACAACATATGCTTCCCAATTTCAAAACCTGATATAAAGCTACTTCAGTAGTTGTAACACAATGTAGTACTGGCACAAGGACAGACATGTAAATCACTAGAACAGAACTTATTTTCAATAAAGGTGCAAAGGAAATTCATTGAAGGAAAAGATAGTCTTTTTAATTAACAGTACTAGGAAAACTGTACATGCATATGCCAAAAGATAAAGTTACACCTTTAAAAAAATAAATAAATAAAGTTACACCTTTATTTCACACTATACAAAATAAATCACAGATTTAAATGTTAGAGGCAAAACAAACTTTTAAAAGAAAACACAGGTGATTATCTTCAATACCTTAGGTTAGGCAAAAATTTATTTGATATGACACCAAAAACATGGTTCATTCTTTAAAATCTGGTAAATTAAACCTCATCAAAATTCAAATCCTTTACACTTCAAAAGATATTATTATGAAAATTAAAAGATAAGCAACAGATTGGGAGAAAATGTTTGGGAAACATATATCTTATAAAGGATTTGTGTACAAAATATGCAAAGAGCTCTCTGTATACAAGAAGACAAACAACCCAATCGAAAATTGGGTAAAATTTTTGACAAAACATTTCACCAAAGAAGATACATGGGTGCTGTGGTTCATGGGGTCGCAAAGAGTCGGACACAACTGAGCAACTGAATTGAACTGAATAAACACACAAAAGGTATTCTGTGTTAGTTTAGGAAAATGCAAATTAAAATCACAATGAGAAGCAATTTCACATCCATTAGGATGACTGTTAATAACTTTTTTTAAAAAAGGATAATAACAAATGTTGGCAAGGATGTGGAAAAAAGGAGTCCTCACACTTTGCTGGAAGGAACACAAAATAATGCAACTACTTTGGAAAGTTTGAAGTCTCATTAAAAGTTAAAAATAAATTTTCCAAATGACTGAACAATTTTATAGTTAGGGATCTACCCAAGAGAAATGAAAATATATATTTACACAAAGACTTATACATGGATCCTCTTAGCACCATTATTCATATTCATAGTCAAAAACTATAAAAAACTAAATGTGCATTAACTGATGAATGGGCAGACATAATGTAGTATATGTATACAGTGAAACACTACTCATCAATAAAAAGAACAAATTATTAACACATGCTTTGACATATGAATCTCAAAAATATTATTCTAGGGGAAAAGGGTAGGGGGAGGGATAGACTGGGATTTGGGGATTGATATGTACATGCTACTATATGTAAAATAGACAACAAATAAGGATCTTCTGTAAGCACAGGGAATTCTGCTCAATGTTCTATAATAAGCTAAATGGAAAAAGAATTTGAAAAAGAGTAAATACATGTATATGTATGACTGAATCACTTTGCTGAATACCTGAAACAAACACAGCACTGTTAATTAACTCCAATATAAAATTAAAAAAAGTAAATAGAAATAAAAATTAAAATAAATAAAAATGTTAATATTAAACAGTAATGGTAATATTACACAAGTGAAAGTGCAATAAATCATCCTAATGAAATTATCATATATAGAAGTACTTTCATACTTAAGCATATTTTAATATTTCAGAAGCTTTCATAATTTTCATAAATGAATGATGATGGTGAATACTTACTGAGTACACCAAACAGCTTAGACATCAAACGCTTCCAACATGAAAATATATATATACATTATTCTAAGTCAAAGAATACCAACACAAGAGACCACATATTGTGTCATTTGGTTTATATAAAATTTCCAGGAAAGTAAAATCTACAGAGAAAGCAAATAGATTAATATTGTCCGGGGTAAGGAGAATAGATAGATGTTACCAAAGGGGATAGGCATGGGGGATGAATTAGGAGTTGATATTAACTGATAACACACTGCTATATATAAAATAGAAAAACAACAAGGGCCTACAATGTAGCACAGGAAACTGTACTCAATATCTTGTTATAATCTACAATAGAAAAGAATCTGAAAAAGAATATATACATGTACACATATAAGTGGATCACTCTCTGTACACTTGTACATTGTGAATCAACTATACTTAAACTTAAGAAAGAGGAGAGGGAATGGAGATTAACAATTAATAAACATAAAGGATCTTATTTGGGTGACAGAAGTGCCTGAAATCTGATCAATGGTAATAGCTGCACAATTTGTTAAAATTACTAAAAAAAGTCATTGAATAAATACTTGTAATGGGTGAAATGACATACCCTAGAGCTATCTAGCTATCTAGCTATCTATCTGTATATATATATATAAAAACATATATGACTATACATACATATATACATATATGAACATCAGACTGGTAATTCATGTCACAAAAACAACAGTGTAAACCAGGAAACAAGACACTGAGATCTTACACATGATGACAAACAAAACTGTCATCCCTGAATTTTATTCCCAGTGAAATATATTTAAAGAATTAACACAAACAGAGACTTCTCCGGGCTTCCCTGATAGCTCAGCTGGTAGAGAATCTGCCTTCAGTGCAGGAGACACAAGTTCCATTCCTGGATGAGGAAGATCCCCTGGAGAAGGGAGGGGCTTCTCTGGTGGCTCAGACAGTAAAGAATCTGCCTGCAAGGTGGGAGATCCTGAGTTGGGAAGATCCCCTGGAGGAGGGCATGGCAATCCACTCCAGTATTCTTGCCTGGAGAATCCCCTTGGACAGAGAGGCCTGGTGGGCTACAGTCCATGAGGTCGCAAAGAGTCAGAAACGACTGCGTGACTAAGCACACAGAGCCTTCTTCAGAACAATAAAACCAGAGTTTGTCATCAGCAGATACTCTGTAGAAGAACTGCTAAAGAATAAAATACAGGTAGCAGGAATGAGCAACTAAGCTAACCATCAGACAATTACACTTATCTCACATGCTAGTAAGGTCATGCTTAAATACTTGCGTGCCAGGCTTCAGCATTATGCAAACCAAGAACTTTCAGATGTCCAAGCTGGGTTTAGAAAAGGAAGATGAACCAGAGGTCAAATTGCCAACGTTCACTGGATTATAGAGAAAGCAAAAGAATTTCAGAAATACATCTATCTCTGTTTCATCGACTCACTAAAGCCTTTAACTGTGTGGATCATGACAAACTGTGGAAAGCTCTTAGAAAGATGGGAATACTAGACCATCTTAACTGTCTCCTGAGAAACCTGTATGCAGGTCAAGAAACAAACTTAGAACCCTGTATGGAACAACTGATTGGTTCAAGATCAAGAAAGGAGTTCTACAGGGCTGTCTGCTGTCACCCTGTTTGCTTAACCTATACGCTGAGCACATCATGAGAATTGCCAGGCTGGATGAGTTACAAGTCGGAATCAACTTAGGCAGGAGAAACATCAGCAACCTCAGATATGCAGATGATACCGCTCTAATGGCAGTAAGCGAAGAGGAACTAAAGAGTCTCTTGATGAGGGTGAAGGAGGAGAGTGAAAGAGCCGGCTTAAGACTAAATATTGAAAAAACTAAGATCATGGCATCTGGCCCCATTATTGTATGGCAAATAAAAGGGGAAAAAGTGGAAATAGTGACAGATTTCCTCTACTTGGGCTCCAAAATCACTGTGGATGGTGATCGCAGCCATGAAATCAGAAGATAATAGTTTCTTGGCAGGAAAGCAATGACAGATATACACAGTGTGTAGAAAAGGTATGTATAGTCAAGGCTATGGTCTTCCCAGTGGAAGCTGGGACTGCAAAAAAGACAGAACGCCAAAGAACTGATACCTTCAAAGTGTGGTGCTGGAGAAGACTCTTGAAAGTCCCTTGGAAAGCAAGGAGATCAAACCAGTCAATCTTAAGGGATATCAACCCTGAATATTCACTGGAAGAACTGATGACGAAGCTGAAGCTACAGTATTTTGGTCATCTGATACGAACAGAAGACTGACTGGAAAAGTCCCTGATGTTGGGAAAGATTGAGGGCAGAAGGAGAAGAGGGCATCAGAGGATGAAATGGCTGGGTGGCATCATCAAGGCAATGAACATGAACTTGGGCAAACTCTGGGAGATTGTGATGAACAGGGAGGCTGGCGTGCTGTAGTCCATGGGGTCGCAAAGAGTCAGACATGACTGGGCAACTGCACAATAACAAGCAGGAATGAGCTCCCAGACAAAAGATCTAACATGCAAGACAGAACCAACAACAAATAAAGTGACAAATATGTGAGCATACATACATAAATATCAAGTATAAAAATTAGTAATAATAAAGTTTCATGGGGTTAAAAATAAACATAATACAACAATTTTCAGGGCAGGGGAAACAGGGTTGAAGTGTGCTAAAGTCTTTATCTTATTGATAAGGAAGCTAAAAATAATGATAATAACTTGAGACTCTGACAATTATGTTTATTATAACTTCCAGGGTAACCAACAAGTGAATAGAAACAGAATATGTAACTTCTAAATTATTAGAAGGAAAATAAAATAATTAAAAAATTATCCATTGTAGGGCTTCCCTGGTGGCTCAGATGGTGACGAATCTGCCTGCAATGTGGGGGACTTGGGTTCGATCCCTGGGTTGGGAAGATCCCCTGGAGGACGGCATTGCAACCCATTCCAGTATTCTTGCCTGAAGAGTCCCGATGGACAGAGGAGCCTGGCAGGCTACAGCCCCTGAGGTCTGAAAGAGTTGGACACAACTGAGCAACTAAGCAAAGAAAACAGCCTCAGTCAAGGTTACCCCGAGAGACAGAACCAAGACCAGTAGGGTTTGTCATGTGTGTTACATGTGTGTGTCAAGACAGAGAGAGAGAAACACTTATTTTAAGAAACTGGTCAATGCAATTATGGGGGCTGACAAGACCCAAGATTTACAGTCAGCAACCTGGAGACCCAGGAGAGCTGATGGTATAGTTTCAGTCCAAGTCCAAAGGCCTAAGAAGCAGGAAAGTCAATAGTATGATTCTGTTCTGAAAGCCAGTAGTTTTGAGACCCAGAAAGATGTTTCAAGTTGAGTCTGATTGTGGGGGAAAAAGCAAATGTCCCAGCTCAAAGGCAATAGGGCAGGAGTTCCTTCTTACTACTCCTTTTTGGTCTCTTCAAATCTTTAACAGACTGGATGAGATGCACCCATATTGAGGAGGGCAATCTGCTTTACTCAACCTACCAATTCAAATGTTAATCTCATTCAGAATGTTTGATAAAATATCCGAGCAACCTGTGGCCTAGTCAAGCTAACACATGAAATTAATCATCACATCAATCCAAAAGAAAGCAAAAATAAAGAGCAAAACAGAAAAGACATGTCAAATAGAAAGTGAAAAATAGGACAGCAAAGCCTACCACATCAGTAAGTACATTGAATGTGATCAGATTTAAACCCTTAGAATCAACTAGATGTCTGACAGAAGGTATATTAATTCAATCCACTGATTCACTAACATCTACTATGTGTTATGTATTATTTTAAGTATATAGACACATCAGTGGGGAAAAAGCAATCAGATTCAGTTCAGTTCAGTAACTCAGTTGTGCTTTGTGACCCCGTGAACTGGAGCACGCCAGGCCTCCCTGTTCCTCACCAACTCCCAGAGTTCACCCAAACCCATATCCATCAAGTCGGTGACGCCATCCAACAATCTCATCCTCTGTCATCCCCTTCTCCTCCTGCCCTCAATCTTTCCCAGCAACAGGGTCTTTTCAAAAGAGTCAGCTCTTCGCATCAGGTGGCCAAAGTATTGNACAGCCTTGACGTACTCCTTTTCTTACTTGGAACCAGTCTGTTGTTCCATGTCCTGTTCTAACTGTTGCTTCCTGACCTGCATACAGGTTTCTTAAGAGGTGGGTCAGTTGGTTTGGTATTCCCATCTCTTTCAGAATTTTCCACAGTTTATTGTGATCCACACAGTCAAAGGCTTTGGCATAGTCAATAAAGCAGAAATAGATGTTTTTCTGGAACTCCCTTGCTTTTAGTGAAAAAAAAGTAATCAGATTACAGAATAATAAATAACTGTTCTGTATTCATTTTCATCTATAATCCCTACCTCCCTTTTAAAAAGACTGTGCTGATTTATAATTGAAAACATTTTATACAACAGGTTAATATAAAGACAAAGGAAGCTCAATAATTACATGAACAAATTTAGGGGTAAAGAATTCTCGTGCCAACACAAGAGACGTGGGTTCAATCCCTGGGTCAAAGATGGCCTGGAGAAGGAAATGGCAATCCACTCCAGTACCCCCGCCTAGGAAATCCCATGGACAGAGGCGCCTGGTGGGCTGCAGTCCACGGGGTCACAAGGGTTGAACACGACGTGGCAACTAAAGAGCAACAAGAACATGGTTGAACCAGCATCCACACATGAGGGAGTTACTAAAAGTCAGTACTATCAGTATTAAAACGTGAGTTAATAGGCATCCAAGGCAAAAAGGGAAATAGCACATTTTAGTCACCTACCTACCAAAAATTGTATATTCAGGAGAACACACAAACTTTCATTTAGCCCTAAAGTATAATGAAAATGAACAGAGATCCTTATATTCTGAGAAATATATAATTATATAGGCTGTTCCAAGAGATCCAGTAGCCAACCTGAGAAGCTTCATACAAAGACAAGTTGCGTACGATAGGAGAAAAACGTGAGCCTCATATTCAGACAGAATTCAGTTTCAGACATGTTCCATGCCAGGCTGGATGAATTAGAAACTGGATTCATGATTGCTGAGAGAAATATCAACACCCGAGATATGCAGATGATACCACTCTAATGGCAGAAGGCAGAAAGCAAAGAGGGACTAAAGAGCCTTT